TGATGCTGTCATCCAACAGTGCCCAAGTTCTTAAAAAAATACACATGGACATATCAAAAATAGGTCTGTGAACAGGCAATGGAAGGCACAGCCTGAAAACTGTTTAGGGTCTTGGTTTGACTTGTATGGCATTAGTGGGGCTTGCAGAAGGCAGAAGGCTAAAAGGACTTTGTGTTACTGATACACATTGACTTAGGCTCTGCATGTCATTTCACTCTGGGCTTGATCCAGTCCTTGTATAGGCCATTTTGCTAAAAGACTTGTGAATATTTTGGGATTTATTTATCTTCAAAGCTGGCAGATCAAACCGCAGCAAATTCAGGTCATCAAAAGGTTCATGTTCTGTATCAAAGTCTTAGAAGGCTCTCATCACACCTGATACGGGCAGAAGACCGTAGCTTTATGGAGTCATTGTAGCAATTTTCACTTTCAGTCATTGGGGTAAAAGAATGATTCCAACCAGGACCCCTTACTTTCAGATATCATGTGTGTAACCCAATACGTCACCCATCTGGCATTCAGCATTTGGCATGCATCTGTGCTCCCACTCTTTTCAGCTCAGTTTTTGATCTGGCACCACTTACAACTGAGTAACAATACCTATAACGCCCTTCCATGTAGAATGCTCATGTAATACAAATTGCCTGGAAAAGGTAGATGAGAAGAGTAGGGCTGCACAGATGCAGAGATTAGAAATCCAGAGATGCAAATAAATACATTTCTTTCTCTTTAGTTTGATCCCAAAGAGAAAAATGAGCCAACTGGCTTGAAACCCAAAAAGAATAATCCCCCCTGTAACCTCATTCCATTCTAAGCATTTTTCCTGAATTGTCAGAGTCATTTCCTTCCTCTGCTCCCATCCCAAATGTCTCTTAGTCAAATATGATTTTGCTATTATTACTACTTGTATTACAGCAGGACTAAGTCACAGCTCATGACCTTCATATAATGCCAATGTCAGTAAAACACTGAGGAGCAATGTTAGATTCTGCCTTTTGGGACTGAGTCTACTGAGTCTAGAAATAGAAATAGATAAGCAAAGCATAATTCTTTGTTTCAGGGCTTATTTTGGTCATTTATGAGGACCAGGATTTACCTTGCATCCCCCTCCTTGACATACTACTACCGTACTTATTAATTTGTCTTCTTCTGTATATGGTTATTTTCTTCTACATATAGTAACCCAGTTGCTGATTTTGGATGAGAAAGGAGTTTTCCCCTAAGTCTAGGGACTGCTGAATGCATGTCAGGGGATTTTAATTCCCTCCTAATGCCAGGGCTGAGAATGATGGCAATGTCTGGCAATGGTGGCAATGATGGCAATGATGGCCTCTCTTGTTATGTCTCTGTGGCATATTGTAGTTTTGCCAGAGTTTACCTTCAATCTGCTAAAGGTCTTAATTTCTGCCATGGCATTAAAATATGTTTTGTGGGGTTTGGAGTGTGCCCAGCATGAAATGGATGTTCAGGGATACCTCTGAATGAAAATTCCACAGCACAGCTAGGTGGAATTCCTAGGCTGGGCTCAACCCAAAATGCACCATGCAGCAAGACTTGGCTGACTGTAAGAGACGTGAACTCTGGTGGTGTTTGTGCTTGAGGTACAAAGCCTTCTCCACAAGCCCATGCCGCTATAGAAGGCATGACCAAAGAAATGCACAACAGGGCATGGCAGCTTTAAGACTGTGTATCTGGTAAGGGCCACACCTGTCTGTTCAAGATGATATTGGAACATCAAGAGGACAGATACATGTATAAAAAATGCAGTGGGATATGGGATAGGAATGAACACTCCTAAACAGGCTGAAAGTCTTATTTTTAAACAGGGAACCATGTCTGTCTGAGAAAGAACATAATCCCTCTTCAATTGCAATAAATACAACTATGGAACCCCACATACTGTCAATTTGCTATGGAAACATAAGGATCTTAAAGAAAAACGTGTTTTCTAACCCATGTTTGGAATTGACATTGCAGCAAAATTGAGCAAATGAGAATTGTTTGAGAAGCAGGAATTAAACTAAAGAGCATAACAGATCATAAAATCACTAGCTTAATAAACACAAGGTAAGCACAAAAAAAAAAAAATGCAATTTTGAGGCTTGATGTGTGGGTCAGTAAAATGCCTTAGAAATGCCTTAGGAACAATCAGAATATTCCATTTCCCAATTAAATATATTAGCATGTGAGCAGCATTCAAATATATTTAGATTTATTGTCACTGAGAATCATTCTTATTTGATCTAAATCATAATAAATGTAGTTAGCTTTTATAAATGAGATATTTAAAACAATAAAAAAGTAAGTTAGTACAAAAACCAGAACTATATCACAATACTCTGCTAGGAAGAAGAATTTAGTATTTATGGAGGTGAAATAAATGTAACAAGATGAAAGAGCACAAAGGACGAATACTGATTATATTTATAGATGTGTGCTGAGAGATGCAAAGCAAATGCAGGAAGATGTATTTGCTCTTGACTAAGAGTTATAGAGGAAACGAGTCACTAAAATAGGCATGCACTAAATTCATGGTATTGCTTTTAATATGCATTCAAGAAAAAGGATAAAAAAGCCATTCCTGACGAGAAGCGTAATTTAACTCTAATTTGTTCTACACTGAAATCCATAGATTTTGGGGGGAAAAAACTGATCTGTTTTTGAGAAGGCTGTTCTGATAAAGCATAGTTCTGAGAGAGAATTGACTTACAAGTGACATTGTGGAATTATTTCATTATCTGCTCCTTGATGTAACTAAATATTCGCTGGTGCTTGTGTGCCTAAATTGAGGCAAGATTTTCATTTGGAAGATGCATGTCTCTGACCATTCCTTAAATTACATTTCTTTCCCTTCTAGAAGGAACAGACTCAAGGAAACAGCTTCTCTTTAGTGAATGTGAGAACAAAGGCAATTCTGGGAAAGACAGCTTTCAGTTGTGGCAAACAGAAGCTGATTTCAGATACAGAATTGAAAACCTGGAGTAAATTTCCTCAAAGAAACAGCTACATACGTTAATAATTTTGTGAATCTCACCTTTAGAAAGAGATGGAATTTTTAAATATTGTATCTTAGCATGATTTTAAGAGGAGATTTAGAAAGAGATGCACTGATTCACACTAGCTAAGAAACTGCTCCAGCAAGTCTATCCACAGTCACAAATTTAAAACTGTATTGCTGCATTAAGCTAAATATCTATTCAGAAAAGAAACAGGAAAGGCTACAAACCAAATAGTCCTTTCTTCCTGCTACAAGCAAATAAGGATTTTCTTGACGAACCTTTCGAACAGTTACAGTCTATTAGTCTTCAAAAATTGCTAACAGGAACACCTAACTTTTAAAAAGAATTTGTAAAAATCACAAGCAAAGCTCCTATGAGTCCCAAATTCTTCCCATTAATAAATAAAGAAAAAAAGCAAATGAAAACCAAGACACCATTGTGGTTGATGTGAACATATGTGGGGTATTAATATGTAAGGAAATGAACTGCACGTAATTTTGCAGGAGAAACTTACACATAAAGAAATTAAGAGTTAAGACAGAATTCAGGCCAAAATAATTCACACAGTGCAACACAAACACATGCGCTGGTCAGTCCCAGTAAATGTGTTGAACATGCTGCCAAAAAAAGCCAGAAATGTGCTGCGCAGCCGGCTAGATTTTGTTTAACACGAGATGGGGATCACAGGGAACACAATGAGGAGATCAGATTTAGAGCTATTTAACAAAGCTTCCTTACTGTGCCAAGAAGCTTTTTTTCTGCTGCCCTTTAATATTTGTCAAATAGAAGTGGAGTATACTCAGTTTGCTATTTAAAGATTTGTATCAGGCTGTAATTCTAAATAGAGAATGTGAAACATAGAAGTCTTTGGGAAGAATTTTCATCTTGAAACTTATCACTGCTTCCTGCTTCTTTAGCCCAAGGTCTGTTTCTCGCTAACTTATGGCACTGTACCAATTTCTGAAGAACACATCTAAGGTTAACGGTTTCTGTCAAATCAGTTCCACATCAGATACCGTGATGTCATATGTTAAGACATCTCCAGGATTTATCTTAGCATTACATAGTTTTGTATAAATAAAGCAGCCAGTCATTGCTACTGGCTTCATCCCTTTGCATAGTTCCACTGAAAGGAAAATGGGGGGAAAAAAGGATTATTTCCACAATAAAGGAATGAATGAACATGAAAAAATAATACAATAATGCTGGAGAAAAGGCTTGCCCCTGCAAGGGACAGATATTAATCAAATGAAATTAAAATTTAGTCAAAGCAGTGGAATTTTGAAAATGAAATATCACTTCACACATTTATTTAGACCTTGTTATATGCCTTATTTGAAGCAATTCCTAGGATGCTGTTGGAGTCAACATCAGCAATATTCAATGAGTAGCCTCTGAAAAATCAGCAGAAAGAATGGTCTGTTTTCTATGATATGTGTTTCCAGACTGATTAACTCTTGCATCCAAGAAAATCCCAGCTCTGTTTGAAATTCTTCCTGCTGCTTTGACATTTATAAACGTGGATTCTCTTCTGCTTTATACGTGGTGAATGCCTGGTGCGATTGTCTTACAATTAAAGCACTAAAGAGAATATCTCTTTTACTTGGCCACCTGTTTTAGCAAACCCTTTGGAGACCTAATTTCTAATTTCTCTCGAGGGTGGTGAATTCAGTCAGATTTGTTGAAATAGATGTGAGAAATAAAGTAAAGAGTGAGGATTTATAGGGAGAGTAAGATCTATACCCGTGATTGCATAAGATGTATTTCCTTAGGAAATTATGCTAAATAGATCTATACATCCATGTTCGGTCTGGGTCTTATCAGACAGGTCATTACACTAGATGGAAGTAGACACTAATCCAGTCCAGCAGTTAGTATATTCCCTACATAAAGAACATATGTTTAAATACATCTAATTGATATGTGAGCATATGTGGAATAAACCAATTGGAACAACACTGAAGTTACTTCCTTTCCTTTTTTTTTTTTCCACCTTTGCAGAGTATTTGGTGCTGCTATACTGCTGACATCCTCCCTCAACATGTTAATACCGTCTGCAGCCAGGGTGCACTATGGGTGTGTCATCTTTGTTAGGATCTTGCAGGGCCTTGTAGAGGTATGGAAAAAATATAAAATAACCTGTAAATGTGATAGATGCTTGTTAGCTTTTAATTAGCAATTGCAAGTTTTCAGGGGAAAATAAAAATTGTTTTCAGTTTATGACTGATTTTTGGTGTAATGGATTTCAATGTATGGATTGCAGCCATTTGATTTTCCTTCATCTATAAAATTACATAGCAAAGTTTTCCCTTGCTGAGAAATCAGTGAGATACGTATTTAACGCTGAAGTTTCACAGAGATCCTGTACTGCACAGGGCTTATACTGGTGCTATTCTCAAGAGTTATTTGCTGTCCAGCCTCACAGATTAAATCTACAATAAAGAATTAAGCTTCTGTCACAGGCCCTGACCATGCTCTTGTTGGTATAAGTGAGAGTTTTACTGTGATTTAAGAGAGAAAAAAATTGAGCCTGCCTCCTGAATTTATTTGGTGTTTGTTTGTTTACTGAAAGACAGATTTTTAAGGCTGTGATTGCTGGTTCTTTGTTCCTCAGGGCTACATACTTCTGTTGCATGAGCTGATTTTAACTCATGCACTTTATTGTATAAAAAGACTCCAAAAGAGGGTGCAGAATGTGCCTGAAAGTTAGGTAACAGTCAACCAAGTTCTTAAAGTATACATGTATAAATATGGATCCATTCGGGAAAAGTGATCTGCATGTACAGAGGTGTGCTTGACTGCAAAGGGGAGAGGAACAGAAGCAAGTGGGTAATTACAAAATAAAATAGCTATTTTAGACCCACTCATTTCTATGATACTGTGCAAAGGAATTGTGAATGCAAAACATCTCTGACAGGACCGTTTGAAGAAGGTTTACAATAAATCATGACAAGATTACATTTTCATTTTTTTTTTTTAAATTAACAAAAGACTGAAATTAACATGAAATTGGTTATAGGATCTTCTTTCAAGCCAGAATAATGTATTTTACAGCCTTTTTTGTATATTGAGACTGATAATCTCAACATTTATGATAATCTCAACATTTGCCAACAGTTATGAATTTTTTCTACTTCTTGCATAGTAAATAAAACATCAAATTAGGAGAAAAGTGACCATACAACTCTACATACATCATCATAATTTTTAAGCATTAATTTTGTGAAAAATTAATGTATATTTCATATTAAATTTTCTAAAATTTCAACACTGCAAGATGCCATGATTTCTGTGTAGTTTTCCTATCATTGTTAAAGGCTGGTTTTGAAAAAAGACCTAAAAATAACTGGTTTAAAATCAAACCAACTAATATCAGCCAATTATTTGCTTTAAGTGCTCAAGAAAGTTCATTAAAGACAAAGGTAGTGAAAAACTTATCTCTTAACATTATATTTTTAAGCTCTTACTGATCTGATTTTCTAGTTTTAGAGCAGTGGAACAGTAATCTGTATTTCCTAAATTATACTTTAAATGTTAAATCAAAAAATGGTAGAAGGCCACCAAAACTGAGGGTTGGAGAAATGAGCCCAGCATTAGAAAGACTCCAGAGGGTCTGTGTTTTCATCCTTCCTTTGACTCTGTGCATTAAGATTCTCTCTTTCTAATGCTTTGCAATTCTTTCCTGGAAGGGGGAGGGGGAGCAAAAGGAAATAATTATGGTTTTTATCTGTTTCATAAGGCCTCTTTAATGATCTGGTGATACACAAAACTCATTTCAACTTTAATAGAAATTGAAGGTTTTCTATGGCTGTACTCAGACTTGACAATAGAAATGCAAAGCATTCTCAAGTTCTTGTTTGTAGCAATTAAAAAAAAAAATCATGCAAAGACAATGAACTGAGTGATTGATGACCATTAGCTAACTTGTGGCACACCCATTCCCCAGGGGGTCACCTACCCTGCCTGCCACGGTATTTGGAGCAAGTGGGCCCCCCCATTAGAAAGAAGTAGGTTAGCAACCACTTCCTTCTGTGGTAAGTAGCTTTCCATTTTTCTCTTTCTTTCATTAGTAACGTAAAAGTATTTTGAGACTGATTTTTTCTCCCTTTTCATCCACACATGTCTTGTTTTGTAGGTTCCTATGCAGGAGCTGTTATTGCAATGCCTTTAGCTGGAATTCTAGTGCAATACACTGGGTGGTCTTCTGTGTTCTATGTGTATGGTATGCATTTTTGCTCACCTCACTCCAGTATTCTATGACCTTACTCTACCCTTTCTAAAAATGTAAAAGCTAATGTTAAGAGGCCAAAAAAAAAAAAAGAGAAGTGGGTCTGTAAAGCTAAAAATACAGTCTAGAGAAAAGGACAATGAAAGAACAGCATTTAAAGGAGAGAGTAGGAAAGCAACATTATTAAATAAGAAGAGAAGCTAGTTCATGGTGAAAGCTTCATCACTTCTAGTACAAGTAGTGCAAACTGCTATGCAGATCTATAGAATCTCAGATCATGAAATGCTGCTTTTTCATTTATACAACTGTAAGTTTAGAGTACCTGCCCTAAGATGTCCTGATTTTTATCTGAAGACCTACATAGAATCATAGAATCATAGATAACTTCATTCACACTAGTTGTGCTACCTTAACTTACACTAATGGAAAAAAAGGTCCCAGAGGAGTTTATTCTGCAGTGTAAAATGTATGCAATAGCATAAATAAATAAAGCATAAATTTATAGCAATTTAATAAATTACTCAGAAAGTGCATTGCTATGTTGAAAACAACGCCACAATCTTGTATTTTGCAGGTAAAAATTTTAGTTGTCAAACAACAGTGGCTTAAAGCAGAATGGAACTTCATTTACAGTCTGGTGAAATTAAATGGAAACTGTTTCATAGCATTGCATTGTACAAATTGATGTTAAAATATCAGTGAATATTCACAGTGAAATCATTCTGTAAATGAAACAAACAGGACTTCACTGTGGTCCAGCTCTGCATGTATTTTGCACAAATATTGTTTGCAGGATCTGACTCTGTTCGAATGACTCAGTAGAAGAGCAGTAAAAACAATTGCCATTTAAATTTGTTATAATTATTCACAGATTTTTCCTTGTTTGCTGCTTTATGTGCATCTTTTTAAAGTCTTTCTTTCCATTCCAAAGGGAGCTTTGGTATAGTCTGGTACATGTTTTGGCTTTTGGTTTCATATGAGAGTCCTGCAAAGCATCCTACGATCACAGATGAAGAAAGGAGATACATAGAAGAAAGCATTGGAGAGAGTGCCAACCTCCTAGGTGCAATGGAAGTAAGAATATTATGCATACATTTGTTTCCTGTGAGATAGTAATAAAACCAAAAAGCCCAAATGGAAAAAAAAAAATTAAATATCCTTCTTCTTTAAGACAGAAAAGCATGTTTCAAACAATTGAATTTTTTGGGGGGATGGGGAGATCTGAAATCTGCTGATGGATTTCTGAGTGGATATTTCTTCAGCACAAAGAGAATCATAGAATAGTTTGGGTTGGAAGGGACCTTTAGAGGTCCAACCCCCCTGCCATGAGCAGGGACATCTTCAACTAGATCAGGTTGCTCAAAGCCCTGTCCAGCCTGACCTTGAATGTTTCCAGCAATGGGGCATCTACAACCTCCCTGGGCAACCTGTTCCAGTGTCTCACCACCCTCATTGTAAAAAATTTCTTCTATACATCTAGTCTAAATCTACCCTCTTTTAGTTTAAAACCATTACCCCTTGTCCTACCACAACAGGCCCTGCTAAAAAGTTTGTCCTCCTCTTATAAGGCCCCTTAAAGTATTGAAAGTCCACAATAAGGTCTCCAGTTCTTCTAGCAGATCACTCATGGAATTTATGCCTCTTTTTCTACTCCAAAATATTAAAAAAACCCTACAGCTACAGTTGAAATTGCAGCTTTATTGAGACTTTCATGGTACCTTGAGTTCAAGTGCTTAATTTTCTTCCTATATAATCCCTTCTGGAAGCTCTTCCTCTTCCTCAAAGTAAACTGGAGGAAAAGCACTACTCAGTGTCTCTTGACAGTTCTCAGAACATTAGGAAAAAAGCAAATCCTGACTATTCTAGGTTTCATTTGCAAGAAAGACTGTAAGTTGCAGCACAGCATGCTAGGAGACCCACAGGAACATTCCCCGTTATCATGGTAACTTTGCTGGAAACATGCTATCAAGCCTCTCATAATCTGACTTAGTTCTGTACTGGATTAGTTCTCAAGAACTCCTAAAAAACCAGCTATGAACTCAGAGAATTTTCCAGCCACTTAATAATCCTATCATGCTAAATAATAATTTTGTTATTTTTCTAACTGTTGAAAAGCTTTAAAGAAACTATCACCTTGCTTACTAACTCAAGAAAGCAAAAAAATGTTGATTCTTAAGCCTCACTTCACCTGCTCAAATTTTTACACCATCCATTCCCAGTAGACCCTCACTACCGCTCTTAATTATGCTTTCTAATGGGTCAGAACATTGGGTCTTGATTGAACTCAGGAATTAACTATTTTTCTCTTAGTAAATAACTTTGATCCAGATTAAATAGGGAACTGGAAATATTACAGAGTCATTTCTTTGATAGCTGACATTTTTAGGTGTTCTTGAGGGAGTGCTTGGGTAGATAGTCAATAGCATTCAGCAGTGTTCATCGTTTCTTATACGTATAAGTCCTTTTGAAAATCTGATGTGAAATGAAATTCAAACAATGTCCATAGAATTCTAACTTGGGCTGGATAATTTCTGTCTGTTTTTTATTGTTGCTTTTTAATTAAACAGTTTTTTGAAGTGATTAGTTTGTATCAATAGTTCAGTTGCTTCTAAAATATTTAGGCTCAAATTCTTCCCATAGTATGAAGTTAGTTTTTCTGGCTGGCTTCTCATTAAGTAAGACACACTTAATCCTTAGCTGTAACTTAAGTGTAATTTAATAGGTATACAAGCTATTGCATATATCCATCTATGGGCTGTTTTTCTTTGAAGAAAAGCCAGTATTCAAATCAACAGCAGACTAAATTCAGCCTGAAACCTTGCTGAAGCGATTTTCAAACACTCATCTGGGTCTGGATCCTGTATTTGGATCAACACAGATGGGCAGAACCCTGGGCTCATGGAGAGGTGCTGGGACTCAGCAGGATTGTAGTTCTGTCCATCTGTCATTTTTTTTTTCATTATGCAATTAATTTTAAAAATACAATAAAACAAACAAAAAATATATTGACCAAGCAGTTTCAGATGAGGCTTGATAAAGAATTATTCAGAACGATGGGATTAAGATTTAAACGCTAAAGTACATACTTAAAATAGATCTGGATGAAATTGTGTACTTATAGTGTAAAACCTGACTGTTGCCTTAGATACAGCAACATTGTCTTTTAAAGACATATTATTATTTTGGACTTAATATGTTCATGTTTACACAATTGAGATAATGGCACTTGTACATGAGTGTTGTGGTACAGCTAAGTATCGCTGAGTTTCTCCACTTGTGTATTTTGCAGTAATTTTTACTTGCTTATGTTTTTAAATTAAATCTTGATCATCCAAATGTGGATGCATTTAAGATAATTGAAGTCACTGGAATTCAGATACATAAAGCTGTACATATATGAGCTTGTTGGAGTACAGGTAAAAATAACGGGTAGGAAAAGGGAAGATAGATAGTTGGTAATCATCAAAGTGGTGACTGGATCCCCCTTTCTATGTTTCAGAAATACAAAACTCCATGGAGGAAATTTTTTACATCTATGCCAGTCTATGCAATAATTGTTGCAAACTTCTGTAGAAGCTGGACTTTTTACTTGCTGCTTATTAGTCAGCCTGCTTACTTTGAGGAAGTGTTTGGATTTGAAATAAGCAAGGTATGTGAAAATAATGTAAAGCTTTTATCTTAGCTAAGCAAATATCAGAGCTACATTTGTGGTATTTATTAGGAGGAGGAAAGAAAAGTGTTCTGCGTCTTTTTCATGGGTTTACAAGTCTTAAATCTTATCCCTCCCAGCTACTGTTCCCTTGACCAGCACATATGAGTGAAGTCACAACAATGCCAAAGGATTGGATAGGGGAAGGTGAAAGCAGGGTGAGATTTAGTGATGATCTGCTTGGGGCCATATTGCAAAAAGACCTTCAGTTAAGTGCTTGAAACCAGATCATGCATGGTATTAGACAGGTATCGAAAGAGCCATTACACTTCTGTCCCTGACACCCCAGGGGATGCAGAATCCCACCGAAGCTGTAAAGAAAGCATTGACAAGTGGTTCCATTTTTTCCAGGTACATTTTATAAAGCAGGACCACCTAGTTTTAGGAAGGATAGTACAATTTATCACCTTTCTATATCCCCCTTTAATCTGGTGAGAACTGCTCCCCCTTTTTCACTTAGGAAGCGAGAGAGATGGTGGCAAAATATGAGACATAGGGATGATCTAAGGTTCCACATAATTCATATGAATTTTGGATCAGACCTGTAATGAAAATATGAATACATGCAAACAAGCCTTCAGAGTGTATAGTAAGCTTTCTACTAATACAGATTTCCTTCTTGTGAAAGTGATGGGGGCTTGTGTTTTTGAGAGACCTATATTCTTTTGATGGTGTTCCATGAGGTATTGTCACCCTAAATTGTGGTGTGACAGATGAGTAGCTTCCAAAGTGTTGCTGTATTATGGAGTACTGTCAAAATTACGTAATGCTGTCCTGCATTTAAAGATGGGCTTCCCTCTTTAGCTGGAGTTATTTTAAGAAGCTTTGCTATGCTTGAAACATAATCTGTTATGCATGCAATAAGAATGGTCACATCCTATAGAATTAATCAGACCATTTTGTTCCAGAAGATTTTTCTTAGAGTGTATTCAGAGAAATGCGGAGCTTTGTAAACAATGACAGCAAAGTCAGTTTTCACCTGCAGTGGCTATGGATGCTCGTAAGTGAATAGTTATCATTTAGTCAGGAACACCTCAAAGCAGGAACTGCAATACCGTAGTCATCTCATAGTTAATAACTGGCTTACTGGGAGAAACATCTATTAGCATGAAGCTAGCTGTCACAACGCAGTTGCCAAATATATAAACTGCAGCGAAATACACAATTTCACAACTTTAATTGAAGAGTAGAGAAAACTTGCTCTCTTTTTGTTCTCATGGAGTCCGTCTGCATGCCAATGTAACTCAAGTCAGACATCAGGCCAGCTGATACACTGTTCAGACAGGAATTGTGCAAAAACCACCGTGCTTAAGCACTTTTTCAGATATACACAATAATCAGAATTTCCTAGTAGAACAAAATGCTGTACGTACTAAACCAAACTATCTGCAAGGCAGTTACGTTGACAGGAGTTAGCCGGTGGCAGTTCATGCCATGCTCTCATGGCTACCCTGCTTTGAAGGAATGGTCTTCAAATATTTTATTATATCGGAGCAGTTGTCACAAAATTACTAGGTCTTACTTTGCTAGCATGTTCAGCATTTTGTATTGTCAATGGATGTTTAGTATGTTATCTTTCACTACATACAGAGTTTCTCAGACATATCTTTTGCCCACGTGAAATTTGAAACTAGAGGGATGGTCAGAAATCAAAGGCAAATGGCCATTGCGCATGTGAGGATGATCCGCAGGGAATCTGTCTAGACATGTTAGGTTTACTGGGCAATGCTATGCCAAACACACCACCAACAGAAATGTAGCAATTCAGTTCTACACATTTGATCATAAATCTTCTGAAAAGAAAGGGCAGAAGGACTATAAGTCAGGGGGAAAAAAAGCCATTAGCTTAAATATATACTGTGAAAACAATCTATAAACAAAAAGTGTCACGGCATCAGAGGTTCTTGAAAACTCTGGCTGTCCTTCATAAAATACAGTGACAACTTAAGGTCACCAGTTTCTTTCATTTAATAAACCAAGTGAAGATTTTTAGTTTTAATGCAGCCTGAAATTGAAGAGAAACAATTAATTAGTTGCTGAATGCTTCAGAAAATGAAGAATCAATATTTTCTTATGGTTTATACTCTGCTACTTCTAATGATCATTTTAGGTGGGTATCTTATCTGCTGTGCCGCATTTAGTGATGACAATTATTGTTCCTATTGGGGGACAAATTGCAGACTTTTTAAGAAGCAGGCAGATTCTTTCAACCACTACTGTGAGAAAGATAATGAACTGTGGAGGTAAGTCTTCCTATTTTATTAAAAAGCTTCTTGTACAGATTCAATGTCCATATAGTCTGCTGTATACAGTAAACAAATAAACTGCATGGTTTTACGTACTTATGAAACAATACTTTGTGCATTTTTTGTCTATTACAGATGTGGTTGCTAAAGAAAAGTAAACACAGTTCTTCCTATTCCCAGTTTCAATATAGACGTTTGGTATTTGAAAAAGCATTTAGGCTGTTAAAGAAACAGATGAGCTTAGGGGGTAATTTGCCTACCTTTAGTTACTCACTGAATCTTAGTTCCTCATCTAAACACCCTCTGTACCAAGAGACCCCAGAGAACTACCTGAGATTAGATATCTGACTTCCAAGAGGTTAAAGTCACACGAGTTGAGTCCTGGCTGTGATAAGGGCTGCACAACTCATAAGCAGGTTAAGTGTATATTCCCATTAGGGTTGGCTGGAAGGACCTAACCAAATCACAGGTATTTCTTTTCATCTTAAAACTGACAGGAGGTAATAATAAATTAGCGTACAAAGAATAAAATAAGGATTATTTGAGATAGCAAGAACATGTGTTTTTTAGGGATGAAATAAATACCTGACTATATTCTACTCCGAGGTAATGTTTTGCCTCTGTCTTCCTATGAAATGTTACCGTATCATAAGGTCTGCAATATTTGAGAGGGAATTAAATCTGATGCCTGGCTTTCTTTATGATTTCCCCAGGTTTTGGTATGGAAGCAACTCTTCTTCTCGTGGTGGGATATTCTCACAGTAAAGGAGTGGCTATTTCATTCTTAGTGCTTGCTGTAGGCTTTAGTGGATTTGCCATATCTGGTGAGATTATATTACTGTTATTAGTAAATTATATTATCTTAAGAGATAGAATATGTTATTTGGTTTTTATTCATTGACAGTAATTTAAACAAACCTCAGGATTCCAAATGACATTATTTATGATCATTGCAAAGGAAAGTACAATCAGTGCCACATCTTCTATATTAGATTATTTTTGTTGAAATACTTCAATCTTTTCCATATTCATTGCAGAAAATCAGACTCTCTTTTCAGTGAGGTGCTAATGTACACCATAGATTTTTCTTGAAATCAAACCTGTAACACAAATGGACTGATATTATACAATGATACCTAAATTTACATGTCTTTGTTTAAATATAGTCCTTGTACTATTTTTTTCCACTGTATATTAGTTAACGCTTTGTTAGTGTTGCATTTTTTTATTACTTTGGGGCCTAACTACTAGCAATCTTTTTTTTCTGATTTAAAATTCAGCTC